GGAGAGAGAGAGAGAGAGGCAATCACTTCGGGTTCTTCCCGCTTGGAAACATGATTGGTCTTAGGGGCGGAGAGGCCAACCCTTCCGAAATCTCGTCACATTTAGCCGGTGGTAATGAAACCTGTGCCTTTTGCCCACTCGAAGGTATAGAGAAGCTACGAGGTAAAAGTCCAGGAGGCGGCTTTGGCAAAGGGGCAGCTGTTCCACCCCCTCTCAAAGAACCAGGCTTGACAGTACCTGAACCCTCTTGTTGTGTCCTTTTTGGGAACAATGGTGCTGAATATGGCACCAGACTCAGAGGCTTTGAAAGCTTAGATGAGTCACCTGGGGGCCTCGGAAGTTCATGTAGCTCACTTATTATAGGGGGCGAAGATGAAGAAACCGAGTAGCGTGAGTTATTACCAGATTTTGGTAATGGGTCTTGATCTAGAGAGAAGATAGGGTTCAAGGGCTTCGAGCCAGGGAATTTACTGCTTAAAGGGCCGGAAAAGGCCTGCCTTTTGATTCGCTTAGGGTCGGAAGTGCTTGTTGGCTCAAGCTGTATTGGAGGCAATGGGGTTGGGGTTGCTCGATTTGTTCTCTCTCCAAGAATTGGCGGGGTTTTCGTCAAGCCGATATTGGATGGTGGCATTGGTATAGTAGCAGAAGAAGGTGGGATAGGGGGGCTTGTTTGTCGGATCGAGCTTTGTTGTGCTTTCATGACCTGGGTTGGCATGGGGAGCACATACGTGTTGAAGTTTTTGACCTTGTCAGTGTGATCAGACCTCTTATCAGCACTTTGGAGGATAGGCGCTGAATGGCTAGTGGACATTGTCTCTCTCGTTGGGCGCAGCAGATCAGAGCGGAATTGTGGTTTCTCCATCGTTTCCTGGAAATTAGTAAGAGTTTTCATATAGCATAACATGTGCATGAAAAAAGATGGCATTTCGTACATCGCATTGAGAACAACAAACACAATGAAAGGCACAACAGGATACATTAGATACGATAATTTCTCCAATTAGGGAAAGGCAGAGAACATTTTTTAGTTGAATTCTGGTGCAAATGCAAACATGAGTCTCGTGCATATTCTTGTTAAAAAAGGGGGGAAAAAAGGTGGCATCACCATAAACGACCTGTTTTGATGTACTTAATAGTTATATCAAAGAAATTTTCATTATTGCCCTTTCGACAAGTCCTGAAAAATTGCATTTGGCATTTTGCAGAGGAAAACATATTCTTTCCAGCCTTAGGTAAAAAGGGTTAAAATAGCAGGTTCCTCCGTCAATAGTGGAAGACCAAACTGGGATGTACACCACTCCCAAAATTGTGCGTCCAAACAGAGTCAAACTGTCAATGCCAAGATAATCTCACTTCGATCTTGTTACATGCAGTGCATGTGTGTGTTACCAGCCCTTGCATGTGCCGAAATAAATCAAACTGAATTGTCTGGTTTCTGCTTGTAGTTCTATTTTTGGGATGCATGGTATCAAGAAACCACGAGACTCTAGTTTATGGCAATTCAGAGAGCAATAAAAATGCAAAATAAAATAGGAAAAATAGACCTACTTGAACTGCTTCAGGATTCACAAAAGAGGCAGATACTTCCTGTTGGTCGAGCTGCATTGAGAAAAAGACGTGAGAGAAATAGAGAAATACATCAATATTAGTCCATCATAACAAAATGTAAACCGTATATCTTTATCATTTGGTTTGAAAATGATGTTTACCTCCATAGAATTCCTTGAGCTTGAAGAAACCTCAGGTACCGCATCATCTTGAGTAGGTTCAAAACTCAATTCCCCATTGTCAGGATCATGGTCATCATTGGGTTCACTAAGTTGGCAATCGATATGATGGTGCTCACAAGCCTGTCTTACATGAGGTTCTACATCCTCTAGAGAGGAAAGTCCCTTCTTAAAGAAGCTCAGCTGGTTTTCAAAAAGTAGTAGTAAAATCTTAGAATTAATTCCCTAATCAGTGAAAGAGACAAGTCAAGGAAGTTGTGTTATTCTATTTATGGACTATTGGAAGTCGCTGAGTTCAACCTGTGCAGTGTAATGACGAGCTGCCTGAGTTAGCAGGCTACGCGACTGTCCTTGCTTAAGCGATTTCAAACGAAAGCCAAATAATGTGGCTTCTTCTTCATATTCTTCTTTGGCAGTCTGCAAATCCTGAGATGAAAAGCTTTCGCCTCTGACACCTTTCTTTCCTTTTTCTTTCTGTGTTTTTATATATAGGTATACATTTCTGCAGCGAGCAAAACCCATCTATTACAGTGAGTAATAAATACGGTATAAGACACATCAAAAAATAAAAAGAAGGCACATTCCGGACCTTTTCTCATCAATAATAAATACTGTATAAGACATCAAAATATAAAAAGAAGCCACAATCCAGACCTTTTCTCATCACATTGGCTTTTCATTTCCTGCAATTACAAAATGCAATGACTTATTACCAGTACAAACCAACATGGACTAATAAAGGTCAGCAATTGTATGATGTTCTGATACAAGTTAAAGAAAAAAGAGTTTGCAAAAACAAGTATATATCAGATAAAACCATCAGTAATACTAAAATCCAATCACAAGTACGTATCAGATAAAACCATCAATAATACTAAAATCCAATCACAATAAAAGAAGAGAAATGAGCAAAAATACAAAGACCACGCCACTGTAAGAGTAAATTAATATCACATGCAGAGGAATTGCAAAATCAGAAATAAAAAACAAGAGCAAAAGCCATTTCAGAAGTTAAATTTGGACCTCTATAATAGATCAGGGAATACTATTTAAGGGGAACCACATGTTTCTCGAGATCTCACTAGTTTCTCAAGGAATTGTGAACCCCCAGTCAGGCCTAATTTGCATTCATTTCTTGTACATGTCTTTATGTGCATATGTGTGTGTGCACGTGTGTGTGTTTGTGGTGGTTGATGATTTGTTGTTGGTTTTTTTTTGGTGAGGGGGCCAGGCACAGGCGGTGGGTGGTGTTTAAAATCAATTAAAATCACATAGTATTTACATTTATTTTGCAGCATCACAAATCACATTAAAAATTAGCCAGGTATGTCCAAACCTAACCTAACCTTCGAGCTGATCTCAGCAAAATAGATATTGGTAATAAGTATTCTCTCCTCATATCATGTCTTGGGAAAGTCTTAATTCTTACTTCATATTCCTTTATAGAGATCATCCTCCTGGTTCTTAAAATCCCGAAGAACTTACTCTCCAAAGGAACAGTACTTTAATATCTGAGTTTCTTACTGGGAATTTTGTTGACAGATTCCAAGACAGGTATATTAGAATACAGACTGGTAGTGAATCAGTGATCATCAAATAGCCAGTTTAAAGACTAACAAAATATAGAAATCGTCAGAGAAAACCTAAATATTAAGGGTGAATCAACTAATCTTAAGTTCTCTTCTCAAAGGATGTTTAAAAATTTGAAGGTTTGAAAAGGTAATATAGGGCAGCGGAGGGTTCTGTATGAATTATTCATTACACAATTGTGAGGTGTGGTGTTGCTATTTCAGACCTTCTTGCCCTACCATTGACAGCAAGGCATAAATATCAACCCCAAACAGTAGATGCCATCGATCTACTTTCTGTCCCTATGTTCTAGAGGAGAATGTTAAAAACATTTAACAGCTAAAATTACCTAAAAGATCAGCATGAGATGCAATAACTAACACTTAGATTGAATCTCGAGGAAAGCAGACATTGGACTGGTTTCGTAAGAATTTCAATGTTTGCCAAAGGTGAAGGAAACTAGTTACTAGATACACCTAGGGAACAATTGTGAGCACAGAAGAGGAATATCTGGGGAAAATGTTTTCCACAAGGAAATGCCTAGAAACTGCCATGGAAATTATTTTGGAGGCATGACCACTGCCCAAGAAACTAATTACAAGAATGCATACTTATCAACACATTAGGGAAACAATGTCGTTAAGAGCAAAAGAGTTCATTTGTTTTGTTTTTTATAGTACTTCTCCACCCTCTTTTGCCATTACAACAGAGACCGGGATGAAACTTTCCTTGGTACAGGCACTCTTGGTTTTTCTGAAATTGAACTTCTTGTACTGAATATTTTCTTTTGGTGTTCTTGGGTTTTTAGAAACTCTGTGTGTACGAGCACTCTTATAAGCCTTATTTTGTAACTTCCTTGTAAACATTGTAAGGGATTAATGTTATAAGCCCATTTTTTGGTACAGGGTCGGTTGACCTATTTTTTACCGAGAGTCCCGTCTAGAGGGTACTCTCGAATTAAACCCAAAACTGTACTCTATCTCCCTATAGCAATACAAAAGTCAACATTTATCAAAAAAAAAAAACTTTCCTTGGTACACTTTTTCCCTCTAATAGTAACTCAGAAATTGAGAAAATCTGTAAAATTTAAACACAAGCATTCATATCAGATGAATTAAAGAAAATCAAAACACACGTGGCTATAGAAGCTAAACCAAGGAAATCCTTTTTATCGTGAGTTAATCAAAGGAAATTATGAGCAGGCATGTTGCTGTACATCTTCGTACATCAACTTTTCAAGGAATTATTATCCTGGATAGTACGCCACTGAAACCAAAATGCATAGATAACAGGGAGAATTTATGGAAAAGAGAGGACACAACGAACCTCTACATTTCGTAGTTCATTGAGAAGAGATTCTGAAGGTGTTGTTATCGTCTGAAATATATGCGAGCGCTGCAGTAGTGGAAGGGGTCAACAGTTATTTCATCTCAAACATTTATAGAAAAGTATACAAAGAGACCATTTACTTTTCATACAAGGAGGTCACAATTATTATTGACCGTTAGATTTAAAATTGGGTGGTCGAGGATGTGTCACTATTAAGGTACAAATTCCAAAACAAAATTTCTCGAATGTTGACACACTTTCATCTATTGGATTTCACATCTAATGGCTAAAAGTGATTGTGACCTCCTTATACCAAAATTAAATGCTCACACAATATTCAATTGCAATGCTTATACAAGCCAGCTAGAAAACACTTGCTTAAACAAACAATAGATACCCAGAATATAGAAGATGGAAATATTTTAGTTTGGTTTTCTGTACAGGCATAAGAACTCACATAATTGTCAACCAGTCTGCGCAGTTCATACTGCACCTTCCCCAACATTAACAAAACTTTACCTACATTTTCAGAGTTACACCATGTTGAGAATTTTGATAGTTTGATAGCATAAAGAGCAAGTCAAGAAGAAAGACAAAAAATAATGCAATAAAAAATAGCAAAAACCAGAAGAAATACAACATTAGCATCAGAGACATTTAAATCCAAATGAATCACGTAAACAATTAGAATGTCATGCATGGCTATGTAGCATTCAGTATAATCAGATTGGACATACCGCCTTCTGCATCAATGTTTAGTGTCGTCTGCTGCAATAAACAAGCACCCATCTCCTGCAAGGATTCTGAGAATTCTGCATCAAAATAACTCATCATGCGGCAGATTTCATAAACTTGTGTCCGCAAGACATGGAACCATGAAGATTCCCATTTTAACAGTTCAATTACAATGTGGAAGAAAAAAGTGTCTATATGTTGCCATCTGATGGCAGATAAAATGATTACTATTAGAAAGCCAGGTATAAGAAGATACTTCTCAACCAGATACTGAAATACATAGATGTGACCTTGGCCAGACTACGCCAATATTTTCTTAAGGCAATCTCAGAAGCGACTCTCTAGAAGTGGAAACTGCACAAACCCAAACGCCATTCTTTTCTTTACAATAAGTCCTTCCTCTCTCTCTCTTTGAGGCCCTCTCTCTATCTATCTAGAAACCAACCATTCCAATTGGGTATTACCTCTCTTTGATACCTTTATACAGAGAGCAAAAAAAAAATTTATTTTTTTTTATAATGTTCCCCAAGAGAACCCCCTAATTTTGTTAGCCAATAACCCTACATTTTTGTAGGAAAATGTAGCTGTGGTGATTTTGAAGATCACCAAACCTAAAAATCTCCGCATCAATAACAAATCACCATAATTATCATGACAACCTCCAACGGATATATTTTTCAATTTCTTCATCTTGCCAATAAAACCCATTTTGGAATTTTTGCACATACTTTGACTCCATATTTCTCCACCTCAAACCATCTATCCATATAATTTCACCAAGTATCTTCTTTACCCAGAAAACAAAACTTAGTCTTAGTCATAGTCATAGTAATGTACACACTTTGTAGTCCATATCAATTCTAGGGTTCTAGGGAACCCCTCGATTGTGGAACTAGAAACCCCAATACCAGGATCCCACCCAAGATCATGTACATATTAGCTAGATGTGAAATAGGTGGATTCTACAATAAAATGAGTGAGAAATAAAAGCACACTGCAATAATACAAGAAATACCCCACTCTAAACAATGGTAGAATTACTGATATCTTCATAACCAGCTCTTCTGGCCAAACAAAACCATCGACTGGTCACCCTCCTTCCCACAGCTACACCGCTTTCCGGGAATAGAAAATTGTGGGACTCTCTAGAAGTCTAAAGCATAAGTAACCCTAAGCGCCATGAAAGAATCACCTGTTTAGGAGGCCATAGCAACTCTTAGATGTCCATCTCGTTTTTGGTGATCCCCTTCCACATGACCCAAAAGGGTGACCAAAAGAATTGAGTATAGAGTATTAGCTCTCTATGGTTCTCTTTTATAAAGATCTTTCTTGTTCAATATGAAACCCCTACTAAATTTTACTTCAAGACCAAAATACCTACAATCTCTTTAGGAAAACATAGGAGTTGTGATTTTGGCTATCACCAAACTTGACACACCACATATTCCTTTGACCACAAATCCATTCCTACTGCTGACACCCCCGATTAACACATTCCAAAACTCCCCAACCTATGGAAACAATGGGTAGGGGCCCATCTTCCCCACTGAATTACCCCAAAAAAAAAAATAACGTAAGTGGAGCATAAGTACCAAACAAGAAAAAGGTGCAAAACTTAGTTTTTTATGTTTTTCCAAAAGACAAAAAACACTTTCCAAATATTAAAACAATCAAAAAGAAAATCTCCACAAAATCTTTTTAAGACATACGCTATGATAGAAGTAGATAGATAGGATCACCCTCTGCAAAATAGTTCAGGGTTTAGATGGTGAGTGGGAAAGAAGCAATGCTTATTAGTTGAACCAAAAAAAAACTCACTCTCTGAATGGGGTCTTAAACTCTCAAAAACAAACTTCCCAATATTTAAATGAGACAAAGATGAACTTAAACTACAGTGATTCGTTTGATTTTATGCCCAGCAATGCAAAAGGTAACCATGGTAAACCTGAGATTCATGACCCTCAGTTATTCCATCATGTTGGTAACGCAAAGAATTATTTTACTCAAGGAGATGAGCAAGGATAAATGTCCAATAGCTGTTTTTCATTCATGCCATTTGTTTCTTTTCCAGACCCTAATATTATAAATTTTCCAATATCAGGCACAGCTGGCTTTATTTACATGCCTTTTTAACACATCAGACTTGTTTTGCTATTTGAATACAGCAAATATAATTAACACATTGGACTTATTTTAACATTTTGGAAACAGCAAATCAGATATAATTGTAAAAAATTGAGAATAAAAAATAAAGAAATCACAAAGAATCAGGGGCAAGAAAATACGTTCGCTAAAGTGAGATACATTTTGTTCCCATATTTCTAAAGCTAAGAGGACTGAATCTCATCATAAGATTACAACCAATGAATGGTTAGGGACATAAAATGATAAAGACTGCTCAATCATTGCATCCAACTTCAGCTATGATGATGATGATGTACAACAATATCAGATCAATGAGGATTCTTTTTTAAGTTTCCATGATTGAATTATTTATAAATGGCCAAACATATCATTTAGTTTTTTATGCAACAAATAGAACAATAGGAGAGAAAGTTAACCTTTTCCTAAACCCAAAATAGATCTATAGGAGAGAATGTATTACCATTCACAATGCCACTTTAACATTTAAGGCCTATGTGGACGTCTATACTATATAGGGTTCACAAGGTTACACATGTGTGTCTCCCAGTGTAACCATCTAAGTTAACGATATCATCACTAAGAAGTTTACACAATTCTTCTTCTCTCATATGAATTGTTAGGGTATTTTAAGAACACAATGTGAGTAAGGTAGTTAGGTCGAACCATAAGCGCTATTTGCAACAGCAGCAGCTGCAGAGAGAAGCCCATCATAACACTTGCTCATCTCTTGCATGTCCTACACATATCGAAAAGAACATATCAGAGCAATAGACAACTCAAACTTGGAGCTCAATAATAAAATATCTAATACATCCGTTTGAGGAAAAAAAAATAGGCAAGTAAAAAGTGAAGTTCTTCCAAAATTACAGGATCATGCTACTAATATCCAAAGCCCAACGTCACTTGGCGACATAAAGAATATTACACTACCAAACCAATAACCAGCATAATGATGGGATTTTATCCCACAACCATGTGGTGCTTCCAACTAATGATTTTTCGCAAACTAACTCATTGAAGAGATTAATAAACACAATAAGGAAACATCCCTTTTTAAACATTGTCATTTCGGTTATTTTTGCTTCTGAGTATTCTCTAGGAGAGCTGAAGGGGAGCATGGTCATATTCTGTAAAAAATTTACAAAGGATACTCAATGAAGACCAATTGGTTCCACAATTAAAATAATATAGCATAAAAGCAACAAGCTCATGAAAGAATAAAGGAAGGGCAAGCAAAGTAGTTAGCAACCGCAAATAAGTGTTGTAATACAAAATAAAGGAGCATGTTCTATCAACCTAACCAACAAATAAGTGTTGTAATACACAAATAAAGAAGCATGTTCTATCAACCTAACGTTTTCCCAACCTTTGAAGCCTGGGCCATGTCATCCACTTGTGCAACGGATTCATTCATGTTTGCCTTTGGACTCTTTTGCAGGGTAAATCCTCGAAGTTTCTTCAATGAAGACTTCATCTTGACTTCTTTAACCTATGGCAACAAATGGAGGTCCTTGGATATTTCAAAGGCTTAAGAGCAGCTTGAACTTTGTCTTGATGTAAGCAAGCTAATTCAGGTCATAAGAGTGGACAAGATTTGAGGAAGATAACCATAAATGTTCCCTTAATAGGAGAATGAAGCATTCTCACACATACTTCAAGGAAAAATAAATTCAGAGCTGAAAATAAAAAATAGTGGATAATACAAGGTACGCACGGTTTTCCTTTTTTCTTGTCAACCTAATGAAAATGCAGGAGAAGGATCTCATCTATCAGACATTTATTTCAGTTTGAGTCCAAAGATTCTCTACAGACAAGAAAGCTATGAATTCCAGAGAGTCTGAAAGGAAGATGAGGAAGAGAAAGAAATCAAGGAAGAAATAATAAATAGAAGATATCGAAAATTTACCTCACCTTTCAGTAACAATGCAGCTCAAGAATGTCTTTAACAAGCCATTGTAGACTCCAAAGCGACCTTCGATTTGGGTAACCTAGGTAAAAAGATTTAGGATTCAGGGCTTCTAAATCAGCAATTATAACAAGAAGAGAAGGTCAAGAAATCTCCATTTGAAATCCACATCCTCCGTTCAATAAGCTATCAAAAGAAAGGAATTCCATCTTCACCTCCTCTCAGTGATAATACGGCTCAATTTTCAAGGAATTTGGAGAAATCATGGACGATGATACAGCGATGTCGACCATTAAATGAACTAGGTTTAAAATTTTCCACACAAGTAAATAAAGCAAAAAAGAAAAGAATCTAGAGACTTCCCCAAATGATTCTTGACGTTTACCTATTCAGATACAAATGCAGGCCTGTAAACTCTCCACCAGCACTAAAATTTCCAAAAAATGGAAGAAAACTCAGCATCAGAAGATAAAAACTTGCAGAAACCAGTAATGATCAGAGCCCATACTTCATATCTCACCAAGACAAGCTCAGAATAGTTCAAATCCGATCTTTCAACAACAATACTTTACAGGAAATCAGAGCTCTAATCTTTCAGAAACTCAGCCATTGCAGAGCTTAGGGCTAAATATTTTACAGAAAAGGAAACAAAGAACACAAAGTAAGTATTAAATGCAGGCCAATGTAAATCTTCGACGAGCCATCGCTTGAGCTTCCAATTCTAACAGTAATGCTCACAGTAAAAGAGGTCCGAGTGAACAAGGGTTAAATCTTTTACCAGAATAGGAAAGGAGAACACATTCCATAACAACAAATCGCAGAAAATGGAGGATTAGGGTTTGATTATTTGCCACAAAAGGAAAGAAAAGGGACATTGAGAAGCGTTGTGTGCGCTTGTAGAGTGAAACTGTTAGGGGACAGACGATTACGACGCACGGCGCTATTATTTATATATTTGTTTATTATTCACTTAAGTTAAATCTCTATACTTAACCAAGATTTAACCAGTAATAAGCGCAGGTATCGAGCTTTGACAGCGGTTTACGGTCAGGATGGCCCAAATCCGTTTGAGGGAGAAGAACTTTCTCACACGGGTGCCGTTTATGGGATGTACCACGTGTGAAGCTTCAGCGGCACGTGAAAAGACACGCGTAATTGGAGAGGATCGAGGTTTGGGGTCGGATTGCTTTTGATGGAGGTCAAATTTTGTAAGAAAAAGGTCGCCTGTGAGGACTGGAGGTACAACTATTTTGTATCGGTCCCTTGACCAAACCCTAGAAAACATGCTCTCGCGCGAGCATACTGTATGTTGGAGTTCTAGTTTTGGGGATCTTACCGTACCAAACTTAGCAACGAAATTTGAATAAAATTATATATTATATATATACATTATGAGTGTTTGAAATTCGGTGATAAGTATATTGAATTTCTAGTTTGGATTGGGACAGGATGGTGACCATCTAGGTTTCGTAATTAGCAATTGATCCGATTTTGATGGACACACCCAGTTCTAATTGAGAACCAAGTGGTTATGTCCAATGATATGGATTGTCCCAACCACCTGGTTTCCACCCACTTTATTTTAAAAAAAATTAATATTATTATTTAATTTTAGAAAAAATTTGCATAAGGTTGCAACCTTAAAACATAAAATTACATTTGCACCTCAAAACTCCATCAGAAAATATTCTTTAAAATGTTGAAGAAACCTCTAATTGATCATCGAGACGTATGAATATGAAAAGAAAAAAAAAATTTGAGTCTCATAAATAATGCATCTTGCAATACATTATCTAGACCGTCTATTTCCATATATTTATAGGTCTACTTGATTTTAACCATTTTTTGAGTTTAAAATTTTATAATTAGATATGAAAATAGATTTTGACATAATCCTAAAAATATTTTTCACTAAAATTACATATTAAGTTAAAATTTGAAGATACGCCTTAATTGGATTGTTTAAGGTTGCAACCTTATAGAAACCACACCCTTTAATTTTTTGGGACACCAATTCACCGTATGGAGACTTGGTGATATGGTTGCTGATCAAGATCACCCATTCACTGATCTAGATCGGATTTTCAGAAGACCGGTTCACCCAGCCAACCCAACATCGTGAGGTCGAATGTAGGCTGTCAAAATTTGGAAAACGCGATTAAATGTTTAGAAACATTTTTCTTCACTATGACTCTAAAAATCTATAGTAAAATTTCCATAAAAATATCTCATAATTTCACCTGAAAAAATCCTATAAATTGGTTTTTTTGCCCGAGTAAGTACAGTGTGTTCTCTTTCTCCTTTCATTTGTGAAAAGCAGCGTTCGTTTAATTTGGCTACATGTTGCATCGATCTTGATCTAATCAGCGATCCAGATCAATAAGAATGGGGCACAATAACACAAGATTAAAAATAGTGGGAATCGAGCCATTCCTGTCAGGGATGCCCACTCACCAAATGATTTCCAAATCTGATGATTCCAATCCTTAGAACACTATAAAGTATAAAGTTGGAAAAACTTGGGTTGTACTCTTAGGTTATTTTGACCATTAGGTATTCAGGCAAAATAATGAAATTTGAACATTTAGGAAAATTTACAAAAAATAAGTCGGATATTTTTCGAAGATGGGTAATTGTTTTTCTTGCAAAAGTTTCAATAGAAACCGCACTTTTAATTCTTTAAACTCATCCTCGTTAAATCTGTTTCTTATATGTCAAATACAAAGATCATTTGGGGAAAATTGAGACAAACTACCATATTCCGATTTTAATAGGGGTGGAAATGGTCCTGGGACCCAAGGGGTACACCCAATCCGGGTCAAGGTATGGGTCCAAAATTTGGACCCGGCAAGTCAGGTCCGGGTCCAAATTTTGGATCGAACATTATTTAAGTCCAGGTCCGGATTCAGTAATATTTTTTGAGTCTCAATATATAAAATATATTTAAATATAGTTAAACACATAAAAGGTGCGCTTTGTATAGAGCCAAGGCTCTAAACAAGCAAAGTAAAGCACACCTTCAAATAGTATTGAGATATATGGTTTCCATACTTGAAATTTTTGTTATAGCCTTAAAATATATTTTCATCTTTAATTATAAATTTTAAAGCTTCAGAAATAGTGTAGATCCAGCAAATCTATGAAAAGTTGAAAATCTTGAAAATTGACCGTCCAAATTTACAAGATGCACTATTTCTTAAACTTGAATTTTTTTCTCATTTCCATACATGTTGATGTCGAGATGATCAATTTAAAGATATTTGGGCATCAAAACAACCTCTTCTAGTGCAAATTTTTAGGTGGACTCTAATTTGATTGTTTAGAGCTTCGGCACTAGATAAACTTTTCTCATCTATAAATATTTTAATTTTTGGGTCGGGTCCTATTGGATCCACTCGGGTTAGGGTCCCACACTATATTTTGGGTCCGCATCGGTTGGATGAATTTGGGTACGGTTGGGTCTAGGTCCAAGGTGTTGGAAATGTGGCCTATCATGCATTTTTCTTCCGAAAATTTACTTTTTTTCAATAATGATACAAAAGCTATATTGAAGTAAATGTGAAATCTCATGTGGTTAACATGAGGCATTGCCATATACTTGAATCCATTTTTTAGCTTTAATAGGATGTTGCACTGGAGGGAAAAGCCAGTGGTGTGTTTGAAATTTGATTCTTTGTAAAAATTTGTTTTTATATTATAGATATGCAAAGTTTATTCAATTTATAAATATCTTTTATCAAATTGTGGGAATATTTGGATGACATTCTATTATGTAAGTCATTAGTGGACTAATGACAGGTTTAGCACATTACATAGGATTAACAATTTGATGACAACTTGTTAATCTTAATTAGGTGCACTTAAGCAAATTAAGACATGAGTTATACTTAGATCTCAACTCTTATGGACCATGAATATGAGAGTTACAAAATAAATGTGTTATCTATAAAAGGGGGTTAACCCCTTTAGAAAGATAGAAAAATATATAGAAAAATAGAGATGGAATGTAAATGAAATTCATCAAAGATGACTCTCAAGATTGCATGTCACCACATGGCTTAGTCTATAGGATTTGATATAGAACCTCAAGTCCCTCGTGTGATTTTAAGTATTTTTTTTTTTTTTTCAATTTTATTTATTTATTATTATTTTTATTGAGACTAACACATAGCCCATATCAATTTTTTGGATCCAAGTCCAGGTCCGCATCCGCCTAGACCCGACCCAACCCGACCCATTGCGACCCCTAGATTTTAATCATGCAGACTCATGATATAAATAACCTTTCAAAGATCTCGTGATACTTTGGTTAGGATTTCAAAGTCGATATATATTTTTCAATATGGCAATGGAGTCCCCGAATGGAATCTTTTATTAGGAAATGAATAACAAAAGTAAGGTCTACAATAGATAATATCGGGGACCATGCACTGATACATCCTAAAGAAAATGAATACCATGTGAAATAACTTTAAAAAATTTAATGCATTCAGCTATTGATTGTGGGGCTCATTCTACTGTAATTGGTATATCATTTCCTTTGGCTACTACAACGACAATAAATATATTGTTGATGCTCATTAAATCTAGTATTATTACTGTTCTCTCTCTATATGAATATTCTCCATCTTACTGAACCCAAAATATTCGACATTATTAGGTGCCAATGGGATATTCTCTTTGCCACACCATATTATTTCAAACGAGTATTCAAGTATTAGATTTCCTATCGAGTATATTGACCCAGAAAAGAGCCTTTTCTTGTAAGGTGTTAGGAGTTTAATACATAAAGTTCAATTTAGTCTTTTCATATGCAAAATACCATCTCTCTCTCACACAATCAATCAAAATAGAAGACAATGAACGCGTAAGAACTACGAAATAAGCAACTTCATGCATAGGTGCTATTAAAAAATCAAGAAAAGCAACCATCCTACCCAGTTCCGCAGTTCTTAGTGTAATTTATGTATGGACACCATAACAATGAGGAAAATACGAAAAGAGCTTTTTTCTTTTTTTTTTTTCAAAAATTACGGAGAAGATCGGGCCGCCTTTGATATATATTTTTTTTAGTTTGCTCCTATGTCCGATAGTACAAACGTCAGACTAATTTTTATTTTATTCTAAACATTAACATTTGACCGTTGTTTCTGGCCACTGACACCAGTCCAAGTTATGGGACCTCAGATCGCTTTGTCTATGGTCTTAGGCCATAATGAATCAGTCTGGGTCCCATACCTCTGACCCTTCTGTTTGTGGCCGAAAACAACAACAACAACAACAATAATAAAATCATCTGATGTTAGTAACATCGGGGGCTGTAATTTAAATTTTTTTTGGCTCTTTTTATATTTTTCTAATTATTTTAATATCCGTATATAAATCGCTCTAATTCTTATAAAGTTTGGTCCACTACAGTCATCATCATTAGACGACTTTAACGGTTATGTCACAAATTTTGTTTATAAAGCCTCTGGCATGGCATGGCATGTCACTCTTCTTGGATTTTGCGTCTTCTACTAATTTACGATCATGCAAAGCTCATGCTCAATGCCTTGTATGTCAAATTGCCCAATCTCACCGATTTCTCTCTTTAGCTTTCTACATGCCCATTTTTTATTTTTGGTTGAAAGAAGTCACAATCATCTTTAGCTATTAAATATAAAAGTTTATATATTGAAGTGTACAATAATGTTCGAAAATTTTTATTTTAAACTTTGTACCCAAAAAATGATACATTCCCAATCATCCGCTTTCACATCTAACCGTTAATGATAATTTTGACCTCCTTATACAAAAATTTGTAGAGACAGTTGACGATTTTATATTTATTTTTTATTATATCATGTATAGAAAGTTACTTATTATAACTTATCGTGCTCTATAAGTTAACTTGCGGTGCAAGTTATCTATGGTTGTATTATATATACATATTAAT